TTGGCAGGACCTCCGCGACATCGGCGTTTCGTGATGCGCATAGCCTCCACCGGTGAGCGGAGGCCACCATTCAGACGGCTCTTCGTTTTCTAGTGCATTCTCTTCCTTGTCTGCGGACAAGTTGCCGCCGGAGCGTTGGATTCGCTTGGCTGGCCGGTGGGCTGTAGTTCGTGGAGCTTGTGCCACTTTACCACTCATCGTGTCAAGATCGGAGGATTCTTAGCCTCGATTCTAGGATGCTCTTTTCTGTTCAGCCTTCGTGAACATGCGTGCGCCATGTGCCCGCTGCTCTTCCAGGGACTCCTTTTGCTTTTCGGCGTCCTCAATGGATGACCTTTGAAGCTACGTGTGCGAGCTATTCTCGACTCGCGTGAGAAAACAGGCAGCCTTCGAGTGCTTTGTGTTGCTTCTGTGGCTGCTGATAGGAAGCTTGCAAGCAGGAGCTGCAGTGCTACCGACATTGTGGCGGAGCCTTGCCTGAGAATGCGGGGCTTGCGCGAGAACGGTGAGCTGAATGAAAAAGCCAGGGACACTTTTTTTTGGGGCAGAACTCTGCCTTCTGGACATTTTGCCTTGTGCTGCTTTGAGACGTCAGGGCATGTGCTGGATCGAAAAGCAAAGAGTCATGTTCCTACTGGGATGGAGAACCTTGTGAATTGAACACCCATGTCAGGCGTGCTCGCCTACAATGAGAGTGTGCAGCAAATCGCGCGCTTAAGCTCCTGGCTGCGAAACTTTCCAGTAATCTGACCGGTAGGGATGTGAGTGGCGACTTCAACAAGGGACAGCTTCCAGGAATGGTCCTGTGTACCTTGTCAAGAACTCTGTGGTTCGACGTCGCTCACACCCGGGAACTTGGGGTGGTCCAATGGACCGCAGATAGTCGAGAAGTCTACTGAAAATTGCGGCGAGCGCTTGCCCTTGCTCGATCAGGCAGAGGCCCATCATCACCAAAGAGGGTGATGAGACCATCTGCTCCAAGTACTCCTCGCTTCCTTTGGCGCGGCGACAGAACCAGGCCTGGCTGTTCTGTCTGCAGCCAATAATCGGCTGGAGCTTGACCTGGTGGAAAAGGCCTGCGAGATCAAGAGAGGACTTGCTGGGTGACGACAGGCGAGGACCAAGGCAGACGTTGAACGTGACGGTGAGTGGAGCCTCCTGCTGGACAACCTTGTCGGGGCTCTGGCAGAGATGAAGAAGTGCATCCTGCCAGGGTTGCGGAGACCGAGCCTGAGACTGAGACCTGGCGCGCCGCAACTCATGGTGAGTCAGACGTTCTGGACCTTTGCTGACGGTGAGGTTGAAGACCCCTGAAGGTGCATGGTGGACCTTGTCCGATGCCAAACCCTGGCTCGATGTCAACAAGGCGATGGGGGTTGACCTAGAGGTCGGCAAGCAGGTGTCGGAGGTCCTTGCCAACTTTGGGAAAATGTTGCGGACTTTCTGAAAGTCGCCGCAGCTAGTTGCAGCCAAGAACACTTTGCAGTCGAAAGGCAAGGGCAAAGGACGAGTGAAAGGCGGATTCAAAGGAAGGCCCAAGAAGGCAACAGTTTTTCTGCAGCAGCAGCCCTCGTCTTCTTCGCCCTTCTCGAAAATGTTGTCGAAACCTCTGCGAAAGCGTTCCGTCATTGTTCGAAGAGAGGGTAAGGAAATAAGGGCAGCCCCCTTGACCTCCTGGGCAAGGCCTCTTTGTGTGCGTAGTGACGAACACGAAGGTCCCTGACAATGAGGCCGAGGATATTGAAGGTGAGTATGGTAACGTGTGCCAGAGGGAGCCGGAGTCCCTGTGCTACCTCCATGTCGGTGAGGGAGATCCCGACGCGCAAGGCCAGGACGCGAGCATGGCTGTGGCCCGACAGTTGTGTCCAGCTTCCCGGTCATAGATAGCAGGGGCACGGAGACGGTAGGAGGTCTCGACGCAAATGACAGATGGGTTCCGTGAGAATGCTTCTGGTCACGTGTTGCTGGACAGCGTAAATGACGGGCTGCGCCGACTGGTGGGGATCGGTTCTGAGCAGTGTCGCGGCCAGATATGAGGTATGTGAGGGCAAGACAGTCAAGCGTGAACAGCCAGCCGCATCAAACGAGCTGGGAGCCACAAACAAGCAGGAGCAACCTACACCACAACGGCGAGGCTGTCGGGGGCCCGAACCAGAGCCCGTAGAAGATCAAGGTCAAATTGAGAGCAATTGCCTTTGTGATGCGTGTCAGTTGTCTGCGCCGTCTGAAGTCAAAGAGCATGTGCCGGAGGGAGAATGTCTGTTGGGGATCAGCCTGCTTTGGAGCGGACCGATCCTATTGGGTCCTGTGTCAGCTTCCTAGCTTCCCGACAACATCCTCTTCGTGGACATGTCGGAGCGCCAGACCGCTGTGCCTTCGGCGACCGAATCGTCAACGACGTCCATGGCGTCGTGCCGGCGACTGTGGCGGAGGCAAACGCCAGGACAAAGTCAAAGGCGAAGGCGGGCAGTGTCAAGACAGAGTACAACCTTGCCAGATCCACTGGCCCGGATCCGAGGGACCCAAGAACACCCGGAGCTCTGTGTCACGGTCAGCGTCAGGTGATGCCTCCTGGCCTCCTGGATGCGGCTCTCCCAGCGGGGCAATGCCCATGGCCGCTGGGAGGTCTGCCAAGTGTCTTGCTTGAGGTTCCGGCTCGTTAAGCAGAGGCCGCTGCAGTGAAGTTGCGTGGAAAAAAGCCTGGGCGTAATGCTGCCACTCGCGAGGTACAAACAATCTTGACCGCCAACGTTGATTCCTTGCTCCACCTTGTACAACAAACCGGAAGCTGCAGTGTCAGTTATGCCGGGCTTGCTGTCCTTACAAATCGGAATTGAGGACATGCTGCACGCTTACAGACAGTGCCCAGTCCGTCCGGCCCTTGGCCATCTCTGTGCTTCAACCGTAGCGTACGGAGACTGTGATGTTCAGGGCCACAGGTTCCTGACCTTGCTTGGCTTGCCAGTTGGGCGCTCATCCAGCGAACTTTGCTTCAACCGCGCTCATGACAGGCCGGTGCCGTCTTGCAGTTCTTTGATGATTCAGGAATTTGTGACCTCACCTCTCTTCGCAAAGGCTTGGTGGAGTCCGGCTCGACTGTCGGAACTCCCCGCCTCCAACTGTTGCTCGCGCATTCCTGGGCCTGTCCGTAAACCTGGCAGCGGCCGGCCCTGATGGCCTTTTTTGCTTCGACTTGACGCCGGGCCACCGTGCTGCGCTCTGTGACCGGATATCTAGTGTCCTGCGACATGGACGGCGCGTCGTGCCATGCAGCCAAGCTTCGAGGTCGCTCTGGTTGGGCCGCCGCCGCAACTTTGGCGAGGCCTCCGAGGCCATTCGCAGAGACTTGCGCAACTGCTTGACTGCTTTACTGCTTGCCCTTTCACCAGTTGCTTGCTTCCTGTGTGCAGACCCGCCTCATCCCCTTGTCTCTGCCACGAGACGGCTTTGCGTCTACAGTGATGCTGCGCATGAACCTCATGCATCCTCATGTGCGTAAAACTAAGATTCGTGTGAAGCTTTGCTGGGTGTTGTTTTCCCCACCAACTGCGCCCAAGCGCCCGCTGGACAGGACGTGGTCTGGTATGTCGACAGTCTGCCGGCATGTCAGTTGCTCGTGAAGGGCTCGGGTTCAGTGCCCGATCCATGCATAATTTCAGCCCTCACACAACTTTTGCTGGCACGTCTCGGGTGCCGAGTGCACTGGGAGTACATCTAAAGTTATGCAAGTCCTGCTGATGGCCTATCCAGGGAAGGGAGGGACTCCATGGCAGCCGTCGTCTCTCAAACAGGCTGCGTCTTGCTTCTTCGCACGGCTTTTGATTCCGCGGCCGAGCCCATTAAGCAGCTTGACTTTTTGATTCACTTAGGGGCTTCTTTTGCAGTGCAGCCTCTGGGTGGCCGCTCTTCGGTTTGCGTCGCTGGCACTGGCATGGTTCCTGTTAAAAACCCAAAGTTCGCCTTCCATGGCCTGTCTTTTCAGTGTGGCATTTATCCATCAGATCACGCGTGGGAAGAAACAGAGAGTGTTGCCATGCAAGGGTTTGCAGCATGAATGACCAAGTATTTGTTTCATCATGGAATTTCGCGCGATTGTCCTACTCCTTGTTGTGATGTCCATGGGTGAGCTTGTGTACATCTATTTCCATATTTCAAAATCATGCCCGTCCTACCTCACATGTGCAGGTTTCTTTATAATGCAGCATGAAGTGAAATATTGTTCATTCATTTGAGCTTGCATTCTTGTGATTGGACATGTGTTTGCCGAGTATACATTAGTTGGATAAACGACTCCTTGGTGCATTTGGTGTGTGAATGTTCGTGATCATGGTTTCAGTTTCAAAGCCTTTGTTATTTTGCCAAGTTACAAGTGCTGACATGACGGTACCGGCGTTAGTGTCATTCCTGAGACGCCTCGGCGGTAAATTCACCGTGAGGTTGAAATGTTCATGTTTCAGGGCCAACAAGTGACGCCGATATTCGAATTGATGCACGGTCATAATTTTTCATAATATGAAGCCAGCATGTGCCCATGAACACACCTAGGTTGGAATGTCTACGCTCAATTCTTAACAACAAGCTTGAGACGTGGAGGTTCATGCACATCCAGTGACAATTTTTTGTTTGCGATATTTTGTGATGTCCGAAGCTGTCGCAGCTATGTCGCAGCAATAGCTTCATGTCATAGCATCATCAGCGGGCATGCAGGTGCGTATGACCCGTTTAGACGTGGGGCAGCAAAACATCATATGAGAGTGATGGAAGTTGAAGATCCAGCTACATGGTTGCGCACAGCGCAACATGTTACTGCTGTTAGGAGCCACCTGTATAGGAAAAAGGTGCAGATGCCATGAGTTGACGGGAAGAAGATGTATCCTGGCCATGGTGGCCATGGCCCTGGTAGGCCTGGTGCCTTCCCTCAGTATCCCTCTGGTTCCGCAGGCTGGGGACAGCCATGGGCCCAACAATCACCCAACCCACATGGTCCGCATGGCCAGCCCATGCAGCAAGGAGCTTACGTACGACCTGGCATGCCAGCCATGCAGCCTGCCATGCCATTTGCTGTCGGACCTGCAATGCAACCTCAAGTGCCGCAAATGCAGTCCCAGATGCAGCCCATGCCATTTGTGGGAAGTCCATGGCCACAAACAAGTCAACCGCGAGCCCCAACCGCCTTTCCACCGCATTGGAGCGCACAAACTGCGGGTTACAACCCAGCTGGAGACCCATTGCTAAGCCAATCATTTGGTCAGTCTTTTGGAATTGGGCCATCAGCGTTGCAGCCATCATCATGGCCACCAACCCAAGCTGCTGGTGAAATTGCTGCAAATGCCCCCCAGGAGGATTTGGCACCTGGTGCTCATGGTGATGATGGACATGACGATCACGGTCGTGGCGGTCATGGCGGTCACAGCGGTCACGGCGGTCATGGTCACGAGATGTGGTTGGTGCAAAAGATCCAAGCAAGCCCTTGGAGCGATTGTGATCAAGTTTAGCATCTTGTTACGTTCACCATTTCGGCCATTTAGGCTGGCCAAACAACACTTGCAGCAAAGAGGGAATGCACTCGATGTTGCTTCAGGATTCTACTTTGGCGGCTTCTGCTGCCTTCTGTCATGTTTTATCCTTATCGCTTTGCTCCTGCTGGTGGGTGTTCCTATCCTGGACCCCCGTCCAAATGACATTGTGCCTGTCATTCTTCGCGAACTTTGGATTGCAAGCAGCGTGGGTTCATACACTGGTTGTGGTTCCCAAGCTGCAAGATGTGCAGTTGTCTGGTCTTGGGTAATGATGACTGCCATGTCAGGAGCACATTGCGAAGAAGAGGCAAGCATGGCATGCTTCGGACTTTGGCTAGTGATCATAGTTCTGCTCCAGTTTTGCTATGCATGCAAGCAGCGCGTCCAGTATGTACCCCGCAGGCAGGATGCAGGCCGCAGCATCAAAGAGGCTTGTTGATTCGTTTGTTGAAGTTTCTTCCTGATTTGCCGATTGAATGCTTCGGAGGTTGCTTTGGCATGTCCCGGCTGTGAAAACCTGGAGGAGCGTGACGTGGATGCAAGAGTGCAGGTGGTGTGGATGAGTTGATGATGGCACCGCTTGCACTTGATCCAAGGATCCGAGCGAATGTTTTACCTACACATACTTTATGCAGTTTGCCTGTATTAGGACCGTCTTGCTGAAAGCACCGGGTGCCGGGCTCCTCCATTTTCCACCTGCTTTTCTGTTTGCGCATAAGGAAGTGGAGCATGAATCTGGCACGCTCTGGGAAACTGATGTTCTGAAAGGCGCCTTGGCACATCTTCACTGCTTTGCGGTTTACTTGCTACATTGTTCTCACAAGAATACCTTGCAATCCCGACCACTTGCAGTTGGCAAGGCATCCGTGATGTAGAGCAGAAGATCTTCGAGGCGAAGGGCCTTGGGCCAGATGGCAAGGACTGTGTTCGGAAGTGCTTTGTTTGCGGTTTCATGGCTCTTCTGTGGAACACCATGTGCGTTCGCGAGGTTTGGAATTTCACCGCTCTTGGGCTGCAGGTAGACTACCGGGTCCCGCATGGTGACTGATCATCAGCCTTATTCACTCGACCCAAGGATATGTGCTTGCTTGCCAAGCCTGACGAGCAGCTGAAGGGACTTGGCCGGGATCCTTGCCTAATGCGTACTAGGCTTGGAGATAAGGCCGACATAAGATGTGATAAGTTGTTCGAGGTTTGATCTGTGTGTGGACACCAGGCCGGTCATGAGTTTTGCCAAGGAGTTGCCGAAAACACCAAAGTGTGCTTTCGCCTTATCTCCCCTTCTCTTCCTGGCGGACAAAGTGTTCCTTAGCTGCTGTAGCTGTTGTAAGATGTTCTGAGCTCATGCGGTGCAGGTGTAATGTGAGCGTCATTCTCAGAAACTCTCCCCTCTGGAGTTGCAGGCGGACTAATCCTAAAACCCAAGCCCGTAAACCCTAAACCAGAAACCCGAAACAGAACACTCTTTGACCTGAGCTCTCCCTGATTGGTCATAGTGTAAGAGTGGGAGTACACAGGAGGTTGGGGTTTTAGGTTGTTGTCTAAACTGCAGGCCAACAGTTGGGTCCCGGAAGTTCATGATTGACGCATGTTTTTGGAATTGTCACCCCCTCGAAACCTGGGGTGTGCAATTTTCGGTTTTTGCATAATCAGGGTTTGGAATTCACATCATTTTATTACATGTCCAAGTTTGGGTATTTTATCTGGGCCAGGAGGGTTATGATTATCACCCATTTCAGGAGGGTTGTGATTGTCACTCATTTTACACAACAATGATGTCTACATTGGGCGGCTGAACTGCAAATACGTTGCTGACTTAGTAATCAAATGGTGCTTCGTGTACTTCATGTCTGGGAAGGAGAGGAGCTCTTCAAATGTTGGCTCGGCATCGCAGCATCTGTGGCTTCCTTGTACACTTTTGCAGCTAGCATCTGCCAGCATGGCTCGCCTCATGGTGTCCGCGGCCCGCTGCATGCTTCTCAGCATGCTGGCGCTGACTGTGATGCCTGGTGTCTTTGTGACGCCACCGTCAGGGCAGGTTTCAAAACCATGCATCCGCGGCAGCAACATCAGCAGGATGCAGAGGTCAGAGCCTCCGAGCAACGCCGGTACCATGCTCATGGCCGTGATGGCTGGTGTCATGGTCGCTGTCGTCTCCCCGGCAAGCAGCTGGGCCGGCACAGGTGGCGCCAGGCCTGACTTCCAGGTGGCCCGACCTGGCTATATGCAGGGCATCGATGCTGCCTTGGCCGCCACGAAGCCTGGTGAGATCGACCACCGAATCATTCTTAAAAAGGCTTTTAAGCATTTTTGTGTGTGTTTTCGAAGTAAGCAGGAGCACGACTGTTTGAATGGTATCCTAATCCCGTCCCAGGATTATGTGACTCGCAGCCGCATCGAGGCCCTTGTTTTCCAAAATTGAGATCTATTTAAATCTAGTTGCAGCATGCCGTTCTTTCAAATCTCTGTGGAGATGTGGGGAGTTAATCTAAGGTCAGATCGTGTTGCGGCCAATAACTATGGACTTCCGGTGGAAGTAGGTTTGTAATGTGGTCAAACATGTGCCTTGCGAAGTGCGACCCAGAAAGAGTTGTTGCCACTGTGAGGCATCATTCTTCCCCCAAGTTGTCGAAGAGCTGAAGCGAGAGCAAGTGAAGCTGGAGGCAGGGACAGGTTGAGCGTGCTTGCATACAGCATCAGACCAAGAGTCGTCGATTTGCCTTTGCTTCACCAGGCGGCCCCCACCAAGCAGGAGCGTCTGGAGAAGAACATGAAGCAGATGCAAGAGCGCCTTAGCTGCTTTGGCTTCAAGCTCTCTGTAGTCTTTGCTCCACTTCAGCTAGTGCGGCTGGTGTCAGGTATGCCAAGACAGCCGTCTTTCAGGATGCGGAAGTGTTCATGTGATGCCGACAGTGCTGAGAAGGATTGCTGCGAGACGGGATCTAGGCAGTCTAGGCATGCGGTGTCGCAAATGCTGGAATCTTGTGAGAGATAGGATGCAGTCTGCTATTGTAGTCTTGCAGCAACTTTTGCTTGACGTACGTGCAGTTCTGGAAGCCTGTGTTGTAGACCTCTTGCAGTAGCATCCTACAGTTTGAGACGTGGCTTCTGAAATTGACAGAGTCCTTCGTAGAAACATTGTTTGACAGACCATCAGGCTTTAAGAGCAAGCGTGCCAAAGCTGTGACCAGCATGGCACGGTTTCAAGTGGGCTGACATCCCTCTTTTTCGTTCCGTTTCCACCTAGACGCATGGGCGCGTGCTCCACAGTCAGGATGAAAAGGCCTCAAAGCAAGAGTGCGTGTTTCAGTGTTGAGATTTGCAACTTGTTGTGGTCAGGCGTGCTGCGCTGAAGTCTGTCTTCAGTTGGACTTCACGTTTGCTGAGGCTGCCTCTCGCCGACCCTCCGCCTTTTCAACTAAAGAGCCACCTATCTGCACTTGTGAGCGTTGATGCATGTAGAATGATTGCCGCTGGCATTCTATTCCCCGTGCACATTTTTTTTGTTGCAGGCTCGCTGCTCTATTGATGTAGGCCCTGCTTCATCACAGAATGGAGAAGTTGGAAAGGCTGTGTAGGCAGCCTCTGTGTATGCCTGTTTGCTTCAGCCTAATCTTCCCCGGCCGTGTGAACTTCCTACCATCCCACTTCTCTGGGTGGCCGTGTGATGCCCATCAGCATTGATGTTCACTAAGACTTATTTCGAACTGGCTACTTATGGATCAATGAGTCTCACCATCAGTGGCCCGACGCTCAGATTCCAAGTGCCACTTGCCCTTGTCACTGGTTTCAATTTGGCTACATTCCGTGATAACTAGCAGGATGTCCTTGCGTGCAGAATGCATTGCCGTGCAAGGACTGATCACTTGACGCGTTGCGTTGTGCCTGATAAAGACGTCCAAAAGGCAGGCACTTGTTGACCTGTGTGTGCATTTAGAGATACCTGAAGGTGCAACGCCATTTTTGCTTTGAGCATCTCGCGCTTTCCCAAACCTCAACAATGCAGGAGGAGATGGGAAAGGTTACGGGCAGCTGGTTCATGAGGAAGGCGGGAACAACATCTGAGGAGCTTCAACTCGTCATGACTGTAGACAGGCCACGGAATACTACGACAAGAAGCTGGGACAGGATCCGAG